CCCTGGGGGGTGATTTCTCGCTTTCTGTTTCTATGTCTCTCCCTGTCTGTCTGGCGAGCGCACGCGCCCTACAGTGAAAATCTCTCCAAAAAAAAAAATTAAAAAAAAAAAAAAAACACAAAAAAAACTCACACCTGCACAAGTGCGTACATGCCCAAAATCCTGAGAAGAATGGAGAGAGATTGTGCGTGGCCACCCCAGGGGGTGAGTTCTCACTTTCTGTCTCCCTTTGTGCCTCTGGCAAGCGCATGCACCCTATAGCAAAAATCTCTCTTAAAAAAAAAAATTGCTGTAACAGTACAGGGTGGCATTGTTTGCTGTGTTCTCTACCCCGTGGTAACCACTGCTGGCCTTCTCTCCAGGGATCAAGTTTGTGGTGCTGGCAGATCCTAGGCAAGCCGGAATAGATTCTCTTCTCCGAAAAATTTATGAGATTTACTCAGACTTTGCCCTGAAGAATCCATTCTATTCCCTGGAAATGCCCATTAGGTAGGTGGCCCTCTTTTAGATACCGGTCAAAGCCTGTGTTCTCCCCAAAGTCATTTCAAGTGCAATAGAGAATTACTTTTAAATAAGACAACAGGGTCCTACAGGTGACATGGTGGTTAAGATGCTGGACTGCTACATGGCCGACCATGGTTCAAGCCCCAGACCCAATGGTTTGAAAATCACACTGGGCGCATGTATATGCATGTTCAAAATCCCAAGAGGAGAATGGAGGCGAAAGCATTGAGGTGTGGCCATTCACCCAGGGGGTGATTTCTCACTTTCCCTCTCTCTCTGCTCTGTGGGTGAACGTACTCTATGGCAGAAACCTGAAAACAAAAAACTAAGAGATAAGAGGAGCTAGCCCTTTGAGAATCTAAAGACTCCTCGGGCTTCATGTCCTTTAAGCAGAGGTTCCACCGACCTTGCCTCTGCTCCCAAGGGAAGCCTCAGGCCTCATGTGTTCTTGTTTCTCCCGGGGCTGGCCTAGGTGCGAGCTGTTTGACCAGAACCTGAAACTAGCCCTGGAGGTGGCAGAGAAGGCTGGGACTTTTGGACCTGGGTCATAGACTGAGGCTGCAACAGACCCACATTCTGAGACCATGCAGCAGGGTCCTGCCGTCCCAGCCCTGGTGGACCCCCAGCAGCCCTGTTAGTACTGAGAATGGGAGGATGCCGAGCCGATGGCATGTCTGGATCCCCGCACCTTCATGCTGCACGCTCTGCCTTCCGTGTGCATATCAGTCCTGCTGCCCAACTTTGTACAGACTTATTTATGGAGAGGTCGGCCCATCGTGCGGTAATAAACATTTCTCTGAGCTCAGTGTTTGCTAGTCTGACTAAGGGTTTTGGAGGAAAAGCATGGGAGGACAGGCAGAAATGGTAAGAGAAATCTGGAAAGATGAGAAGCTGTTTTAGCAGAAAGCAAAAACAAATACATGTTCATCAAGGGAGTGGACGAGGGACTGAATCAGGAGCCTTGGATCTGGACTCAGAATTGCGAATTCCTGGGTTCTGTTGGTGGCTGTGATCATGGTGATGGGCCAGGCCTCATTGCTTTTCCTCACTTAAGTGTCACCCCAACCCTGGGGGTACGTTCTGTCACAGGTGAGATTTAGCAAGGTCTGAACTCGGAGTGTCTCACAGTCTCCACGCTAGTTATGGACAGCCAGCATCTGGATCCAGTCTTCTGACACTTACACTGTCGGTGAAGGGTTGTTAACCTGTGTGTCTCGACCTGCCTGCAACCCAGTACTTTCGATTCATAAATGGTCACGGGACTGTACGGTGTTCTGTGGAAGACAGAAGCATGAGCCTAAAGAGGCTGGTGTACACTTGTTTTCCCATTCCAGGGAAATGGTCTCCTTTCAGGGATGGAAACAGCAGGTTTTTCCTAAAGACGGCTGTCTCTGGCTTATATACCTCCTTTTGAAAAAATGACTCGCAGTGTTTGGTATCAAATCTAGTTTTAATCCTCTATAACAAGTTATCTCGCCCTCCCACCCGTACCCCCTACTGTGCCAGGGCATTGGTGAGAGTCTCTCTGGAGACTGAGGTATGGCATTAGCGTGGCCCACTGCTGAGGGCAGAGCAGAAGTCACAGGACATGAGTGTCCTACAGCTGCAGGGACAGCCTCACCCAAGGCCCGAAGTGGGGATGGGGACAGGATAGGCCACCAACTGCAGAAGTTTCCTGTGGTCTGAAGGCAAGAAATAGAGGCTAATGGAGTCCAAGTACAAAGGTTATCTTTTAAATAGAGCATGGGATAGAGAACTGGGACCTCATTAGCCACTGACAACTTCCAGCGCCACCTGGGCGAAGGGGACGGTGCAGACAGTAAAAGGTGCAGTGCGAGGCAGAGCAGCTCCTCCTCCCCACCGTGTGCAGGGGGAAGGCTACAGGCCGGAGGGTGCAAAGCCCACACACTCTTCACTCGGCCTTCTTGGGCACTCTGCCCATCTTGGTGCGGATGTTTCGCAGGAGAAAGAAGGCGGCTGTACTGGCAGCGCAGATCACTTCGGCCACCCAGAAGGCTGTGCTCCAGCTGTAGTGTTTGGCGATGGTGCTGAAGGGCAGCCCAGCCAGAAAGCCGCCCACTGTCAGGGAGGAGGGAAGAGCTGAGCCCTCTCTAAGGCCAGAGCCAGTGGGGCTTGCAGTAGTTCCAGCGGCAGTGTGCAAAGCATGTGTAGGGTGAAGAGATTCCAGGATGCATTGCTTACCATTGGCCATGAGGCCCACGATGGCGTGGGAGGTGCCACACAAATTGGGAGGGGCGCTCTCGTTGGCTATTACTCCAAACAAGGCGATGGGGCCATAGGACGAGAACCCAAACACAGCCCCCAGCACCAGGATCCAGAGCTGCAAGGGCAGTGCAGGGTGACAGTCAGGAAGTTTACCTTCCACCTACTAGGCCAGAGGGGAGTGCTTGGTCCCCAGGAGCAAACAGCAAAGGGAGGGTAGGTGATCATTCTCATCCCGTTCCCCAGATGGTGCTGGTCTGGGCTAGAGACCAGGTGCCACACTGAGCCAACCCAGGGGCCTGGCAGGCAGGGCAGGAACGGAAGTGATCCCAAGTGAGGTGCCCTCTGTTCCCAGGATTTACACATGCTGGGTGAGCCTGGGCAAGGCAGAGGGCCAGGACAAAGGTTGAGACAGACCAGGAGGAAAGCCAGAGATCTTTAAGGCACCTCGTGCTCCGTAAAGCCTGTGAGCTCAGCGAGAGGATGAAGAGCTGGAGTCCAGAAAGCCACATCCTAGAGGAGCAGAGGAAAGAAGAAAACCAGGCCCAGCATGGAAGAGGCCAAAGCAGAAACAAGGCACCAAGGTACAGACAGAACCGGAAGGAAGCCTGCGAGGCAGAGAAAGGACTGGCCCAACTGGAGCCCAGGAGAGGGAGACAGAGAGGCAGTGGCCCTTGCTTCCTGCCACAAGCCAGGCCCCCTAAGTACCTTGGGGGAGTCACTGGTCACTGTGACCCGGAAGAGGTACATGGACGCCGTCATGCCAGCCATCATGAACAGCAGCAGGCCATGGCGAGGGTTCCCG